CGACGACGGCTCGTTTACGCCCACGCCCGGCACCGACGCCGCGTACGACGACGCGGAGGCGGCGGTGCACGCGGCCGAGGCGCGGCTCGAGGAGGAGCGCAAGGCCGCCGCGGCGACGCTCAAGCTCGCGCTGCGCGACGTGCCGTGGAAGCACGTCGGCACGAACGAGATCTACCAGCTCGAGGTGCCCGCGCGCACGGCGGTGCCGGCGCCGTGGATCGTCATGAGCCAGACCAAGGCGGCGAAGCGCTACTACACGCCGCGCGGCAAGGAGCTCGTGCGCCTGCTCAAGGAGGCGCGCGAGACGCGCCTCGCGGCGGTGCGCGCGTTCCAGGACACGGTCTACGCGCAGTTCCGCGCGGAGAACGCGACGTTTGCGCGCGCGGTGCGCACCGTCGCGCAGCTCGACGCGCTGCTGAGCCTTGCCAAGAGCAGCGCGGCGCTCGGTGCGCCCGCGTGCCGCCCGCGCCTCGTGTGGCGCGACACGGCGCACTTTGCGTTCCGCGCGCTGCGCCACCCGTGCATGGCGCCGAGTGCGCTGAGCGGCGCGCCCGCCGAGTTCATCCCCAACGACCTCGCGCTCGGCGACACGCACGAGGAGGTGATGATTCTCACGGGGAGCAACATGGCGGGCAAGAGCACCACCGCGCGCACCGCGGCGACCGCCGTGATCCTCGCGCAGCTCGGCTGCTACGTCCCCGCCGAGGACGCCGAACTGGCGCCCGTCGACCGCATCGCGTCGCGCATGGGCGCGAACGACCAGCTGTTCCGCAACCACAGCACGTTCATGGTCGAGATGCTCGAGGCGTCCAAGATCCTGCGCGACGCGACGCCGCGCTCGCTCGTCATCATGGACGAGCTCGGGCGCGGCACGTCGACATTCGACGGGCAGGCGATCGCCTACGCGGTGCTGCACCACCTCGTCGCCCGCACGCGGTGCCTGTGCTTCTTCATGACGCACTACGCGACCATCGCCCAGAGCCTCGACACGTACCCGCGCGTGTGCAACCGGCACATGCACGTGCTCGTCGACGACGCGGCGCGCCACGTCGTGTTCACCTACCGCCTCGTGCCGGGCATCGCCGAGTCGTCGTACGGCACACAGGTCGCACGCATCGCCGGCGTCCCGGACGCGATCTGCACGCAGGCCGCGGCGATCTCGGCGCGCTTCTTTGCCGAGGCGCACGCCGCGCAGGCCCAGCGCCGCACGCGCGCCGTGCCGCTCGAGACGCTCAGCGACTTTGCGCGCCTCGTGGCGCTCGCGCACGACGCGTCGGCCGCAGGCCGCACCGAGCTCGCGCTGCTCCTCGCTGCGGCCCAGCACCACCTCGCGACGCCCGCGCCCACAGCCGCCACGCCGTAGCTTGCCTGCCCCGCGCCCACCGCCCGATCCCCGCGCCGCGCCCCGCGTTGCACCGCGCCGCGCTGCGTCGCAATTGGCGCCAGGACGCCACGTGGTAGATACCGCACGTGGCTCGATTGCGCAAGCGCCGACGCCGCCGGTGCGCCGCAGGTGCACGTAATTATGCCCGTCACGCCCCGTCGGCTATGGACAAGGTGGGTGGTGCACGGGACCGGCGCGATGCGGCGGCCGACGGCGGCGCACGCACGCCGCTCGACGAGCATGCGCGACGGCTCGTGCAGCCCAACGCGTGTATCTTGCGTCCCAGCGCGGAAACGGCGCCACGCGCAGGCACCGGCCTCGGCCTCGGCCTGACCACGGCGCCCGGCGCAGCGCCCGCGCCGACCTCGTCGACGTCGCCGGGCGTGCCGACCGTGGACGTGTCGCCCGTCGCGCACCCCGCCGACGCGATGAACACGCCCAACGTCTCGCCGCCGCATGCGCCCGTCGACTGGGACCTGATGGCGAGCCTGGGCTTGTACGCCGAGCGCCCCGCGACGCCCGACCACGCAAGCCCGCTCTTGCCGATGGGCGACATGCTCACGGCGCTGCCGAGCGCCGCGTCGGCGAGCGAGAGCAGCTACTTCCCCGTGGCGCGCTCGTCGAGCTTGCGTTCCACCAACTCGATCCGCAGCCAGCGCAACTGGAGCGAGTTTGATGGACACCCCGTGTCGCCGCTGCCGAGCCCCATGATCCGCTCGATGCGCGACCCGCACGACTCGCCGCGCGAGCTGCACAGCCCCGAGATGCCCGCGAGCCCCAGCGACGGGCTCAGCAAGACGCAGGCCTTCTTCTCGCCCGGCGCCCACCCACCGCCGCCCAAGCCGCCGCAGAACCGCAGCGCGGCCATCGCGCGCAGCGCGTCGAGCCGCACGCCAAACACCGGCACCGACGCACAGCCGCGGCGGCAGCGCGCGCTCAGCTCGCCGCACCACACCCGCACCGAGACGCTGCCGGTGCCGAGCGGCGCCAATGCGGCGCTCGCGGCGGCCGCCGCGCCGTCGGCCGCGCCCGCCGCGTCGGCGCTCACCGAGCGCCTCTCGCCTGCGCTGCCGATCGAGCGCAAGGCGTCGCGGCCGACCGCGCGGCACTTTTACGGCCCGTCGATGACCGTGACGAACGACTCGATCGTGCCGTCGCCGCCGCACGCGCCCGCGCCGGTGCCCGCGCCCGCGCCTGCGCCTGCGCCCGCTGCTGAGGCGCCAAAGAGTGGCGGCGCGCCCGGCGAGCACGACGCGGCGCCCGAGAGCGAGCACCTCCTGGACGCCGTCGACCACCCCACCGAGCAGGAGGACGAGCAGGCGGGCCGTGTCGGGCCGTACCGCGTCCTGTCGCGCCTCGGCACGGGCGCGTTCAGCAAGGTGCTCCTCGCCGAGCCGCTCGGCGCGTCGCAGGGCCGCGTCGCGCTCAAGATGATCGCGTGCGAGCCGTGGAAGATCGACCGGCGCATGCGGGTGAGCTGGGTGCGTGAGGCCGAGGTGCTGCGACACATCTCGCACCCCAACATTGTGCGCTTTGTGAACGCGTTCCGCACGCCACAGCACTACACGCTCGTGCTCGATGCGGTGGACGGCGGCGAGCTGTTCGACCTGCTCGCGCACCACCACGCGGCGATCGCCGAGCGCGAGTGGCTCGTGCGCCGCATCTTTGGCGAGCTGGCCGGCGCCGTCGGGTGGATGCACGCGAACAACCTCGTGCACCGTGACATCAAGCTCGAGAACATCATGATGACGCGCACGCTCTTTGCGCCCGGGCGCGCGCCGCTGAACCCCGCGGCGCTCGGCCCGATCCCGCTCGTGAAGATCACCGATTTCGGCCTCGCGCGCTTCGTCCACGCCGATCAGCTGCTCGAGACGCGCTGCGGCAGCGAGGAGTACGCCGCGCCGGAGCTCATCATCGGCAAAAAGTACGACGGACACAAAACGGACGCATGGGCGCTCGGCGTGGTGCTCTACGCGCTGCTCACCGGCGGCCTGCCCTTTTTGCAGTCCAGCACGCCGTCGGCCGCCGCCCAGGCGCACGAGCAGCCCACGCGCGAGCGGCACCACGGCGCGGCGTCCGCAGCGGAGCGCGAGGCCAGGAGCCGCAAGACGCACCTGCTGCGCATCGCCAAAGGCGAGCTGGTCTGGCCGCAGCACGCCAACAACCTCGCGGAGAGCGTTGCGTCGCCGCACTACGAGCCGGCGTTGCGCCTCGTCACGCCGCAGGCGCGGCACATCACGCAGCGCTTCTTGCGGCGCGACGCGGCACGCCGCGCAGCATGCTGGGAACTGTGGCAGGACCCATGGTTCCTGTACGGGAGCTTTGCGGCGCCGCAACCGGCGCTGGCGCCGACGCCGAACGACGACGCGACGATGCTGTGCGTCGCGCACGAGGCAAGCGCAGCGAACGAGCGTGTGGCGCTCCCGTACGACCCGCAGGACACGCGCGGACAGGCATGGATCGCGTCCTGCGCCGCGACGCACGGCGAGGCCGCGCCCCTGTTCCGCGACCTGCCCCCGTAGCGCCGCTTGTACACTAGACATGCTTATGTCAGCGCAGCGCGCCGCGACGACACACGCCGCCATGGACGACGCTGCGGTGCCGCAGGCCCGCTCCGTGTTCGGCGTAGACCCGCTGGACGAGTTTGCGCTGCTCGTGTCCGACTGCGTGTGGGACCACTGCCGCAACCTGGGCAACATCGAGGTACGCACGCCCCACACGCCCCGCTCACCCAGATCGAAGCCAAGATCGGCGTGCTCATCGACCGCGGCACCCAGAGCCGCCTGCGTCTCCCGGTGTTCACCGAGACCATTGTCGATGCAAAGCAGCTCAACCTGCGCTTCGAAAGCAACATGTCGATGGCGCAGCACAGGCACTTTAACCAGCTGCTCAACCAGGCCGTCGCCTTCAGCGCCCAAGCGGCCCCGCCGGATCGCATCACCTACCGGCACCAAAAGGAAATCGACTCCTTCTACGACGAGCGCGACCCAGACACAGGACATATGGTGCACATGCGTGTCACCCGCGACGCCGTCACCCACGAAGTCAAGCCGGGAGGCATCGTCGCCAAAAAGCGCATCGCCGACATCAACGTCTTTGCGCCCAACCGCCCGTTCGACTACCGCATCAGCATCAACACCGAAACGCCCGTGCCTGCACCCCAGGACGGCACGGAACCGAGCTTTGTGCGCGAAAAGGACCGCCTCTCGTACACCCACCAAAACATGAACATCGACCTGACCCAGGTCATCCTGCCCAACAAGGTGCGTACATCTCGCCGCCTCGGCCCTGCTGACCCCAGCCCAAGGAGCCCGTGCACGAGCTCGAGGTCGAGATTCGCAACTCGGCAGACCTCATGCAGCACGCCTACTTGTCGCGCAGCCAGACGCAGTCGGGCACACAGGAATGGACGCCGTTCGAAGACACCATCCTCGTGCTCCTCAATAATGTGCGCTTGCTGATTCGGTACGTACCAGCGCCGCAGCCGTATGCTGACCCTCAGCAATGCTGCACCACCCCAGCCGCCGGTCGCCTAGGGAAGGCTCCCTCAATCCCATAGGGACCCACTTGACGTCCTGTATAGATATCCATGTGTGCGAATGGCGACTATGCTCTTGACGAGATGGCCGAGTGGTTAAGGCGGTGGCCTGCTAAACGCATGACGATTTAGTCAGTAAGCTATTGGGTTCTGCCCGCGTGAGTTCGAATCTCATTCTCGTCGAAGTTTTTTTATTTTTAATAGACAACCCAACCCCGCACCCAGAATTCATCATAGATAGATTGTTGCTACGCGCAGCACCTGTCTTCTTCTCTACTTGCCCAGCCAGGGCAGAATGTAGCGCAGGCGCTCGAGCACATTGGCATCCATCGCAGCCACCGGCGTCATGATGCTGAACTTCATGCTCTCCCGCGTGCGCTTCAGGATACGCGAGTCGTCCTCGCTCACCAGCTCGCTCACGCGGTCAATCAGCGCACGCGTGACCACCTGCGAGGCAGTCACGTTGTGGCGCAGACTCTCCATGACCTCGGAGACGCTCACGGACGCAGCCGTCTCGCGCCATGCGTCGTAGTCGGTCGCTGGTGGTCAGATGCGCGTCACACGTACACGTCGCAATCAGCACGTAGCTCAGCTCGGCCTCGCGCGCGAGCTTGGCCTCAGGCAGCGCCGACATGTTGATGATGTCGCCGCCCAACTGGCGGTACATGTTCGACTCGGCGCGCGTCGAGAACGCAGGGCCCTCCATGCATACAACCGTCTTGTTCGCATGCACCTTGACCAGCGGCGAGTGCTCGGCCAGGGTCTCGCGCACACTGGGGTCAGCCTCGCGAGTACGTACATGCCCTCCACGATCGGGCTAAGCACCGTGTCGTACGGGTCGCCGAACGTGGCGTGTGCGATCACGGCGTGCTCCTCGCCCTCGCCAAAGTAGCTCGCGCGGCGCACGCCCTTGGTACGGTCGATGATCTGCGACGGGATCACAAAGTCCTTGGGTGCGATTTCCTCACGCAGCGAGCCCACAGCCGAGAACGCCAGCACCGTGCGCACACCGAGGTGCTTCAGCGCAGCGATGTTGGCCGTCGACGGCACATGCGACGGGGCAATCGAGTGATTCAGGCCGTGGCGCGCCAGGAACGCAACCAGCGTGCCGGCCTCGGTGCGGGCGATGCTGATCGGCGACGACGGATAGCCCCACGGGGTCTTGGGGTTCACCGCATCGATGATCTCAATGCCATCCAGCTTGTAGAGACCCGAGCCGCCGATGACACCGACGTAGATCGGCGGGCCGTCCCATTCCGCTTTCGGTTCGTGCTCGGCCATGTTCGCGAGTCGGGAGAAACGCTGGCGCCGGCCGCGGTGGAGGCTGCAGTCCGCGCCGGTCGCGGTTGCATAAGCACGGAGCCGGCCGACCACGCCATGGCTCGTGCGTCGCAACCGGTGCACCGCGCAGATCGGTGTGAGACCGACGACGCCGCGGCGTACGAACAGGCCAACGTGCATGCGTACGTGGTGTTGCTAATTAAGCGTGTACGACGTAATCGCCTATCATTTTTCTAGCACGCGGTACAAGGTAGGCGCGCGCTCATGCACTGACGCAGCCCTGGCCGCTCATCCCGCAGTTTCTCGCGACTTTTGCGCCTGGGAGCCTCGGTGCAGACCTGGGATGTGGGAACGGCAAGTACCTGCACCTGCGCTCGGCATTCGGGCCGGGCCCCGACGCGGCCCTCGTCACCCTGGGGTCGGATCGGTGTGCGCCGCTCGTGGAAGATGCGCAACACAACTTCCCGCAGCCTGGCACCAAGTCCATGCACGAGGTCGCGGTCGCCGATGCCCTGCACTCGCAGCTGCGCTCTGCCGCGTTTGTATGTACATGGCTAACCCTAGGATTATGCGATCAGCATCGCGACCATCCATCACTTTTCGACGCCCGAGCGCCGCATGCTCGCCGTGCAGGAAATGATTCGTCTGGTGCGCCCCGTGCCCCGTATGGAACCACAGAGCGACGGGCTCGGCGAGGGTCCGGGCCGGTTCCTCATTTTTGTCTGGGCCTACGAGCAGCGCGGCGGAGGACGCCGCCAGTTTGACACCGTGTTGCCCGACGATCAAGCCGCGCAGGACGTCTTGGTGCCGTGGGTCATGACGTCGCAGCACGCGCCCGAGACGCGCGAGGAGCAGGTGCACCAACGATGTGGGTACAGAAGAATGCGCTCATCTAGACTACCATTTGTTCCGCGAAGGCGAACTCGAGGACCTCGTGGCCTGGGCGGTGCGTGATCTCGCACAAGGCGCGGCCGGAGATGCAAAGCCCGCGCCGCTCGCGGTCCCGCAAGTCGCCAGCGGCTGGGACAAGGGCAACTGGTGGGGCATCTGGCGCGTCGAGCACGCCTAGGCCGACGCCGGTGCCTCTACAGGAGCCTCCTCGGCCGGTACTTCGTAGACACGCCGAGGCACAGCCTCGTCCGGTGACCGCGGCCGCAAAACGCGCAGACTTCCGCGCCACGACTCATTCCAGGTAACACCCGCAGATGGCGTGAGGATCTCGTAGCCATGGAGCAGGTTTTGCCAGTCGCGCTCCTTGTTGAAGCGCTCGTCGCGCAGCTCGATCTCGCTGTGGGGCATTTCGTATTTTTCCGTGCGGGTCGGCTCGCGCTCGCCGCGCAGGATCTCGCGCGAGGCCTTGAGCTCGTCACGCAGCGCCTCGTAGAACCGCTCGCGGTCCTTGACGATCTCGCTGGGCGTCTTCTCGAAGCGACGGGGGTAGAAGTCTTCTTCCGACAAGCCCCAGTCCAAGTCGCCGCCCTGCGGCGGCCGGTCCGAGATGGTGCCGGGCGCGCCGACGTCGAACTCGCGGGCATCGTTTTTGGTGCCGAGCACGATGCTCAGACCCAGCTCCGCACCGCGGCGCACATCGTCGCGGTGGTTGAAAAAGTGCACAATACGACGGGGTATGTTGCGCCAGCCCACGAGGTTGGTAAAGTCCACAAAACACATAGGCGGCTGGGCGGGGACCGACGAGGGCGGCGCAAGTTTGGGCTGCTCGGCCTCGGCCGCGTCCGCGCTGGTGTCCGGCGCCGCCGGTGCCGTTCCGCGCGACGCAAACGGCGACGCGGCGTTCCGGTTCATCGACTGGAAGCCGACCTGCGAGGGCAGCATGAACCCTTTGGTGGGCAGCGGCATAGGCTCCTCGTCATCGGTACCGACGTGCACGGGTTGTGCCGATGCCGGCGGCTCGTCTTCCTCGAAGGTATTGTCGTCGCTCAAGCGCGTCGCCAGCGCCTCATCGTGGTCGACCGGCTTGACAGGGATTTCGGTGTCCCAGCCCTCCTTCATCGCCCAAGCCCACTCCTTGAGCGCAGGACGTCCGACAATCACCACAGCCCCGTCAAGCTCGCGCTGGAGCTGCTGGGCAGGGGTGGGCAGGAAAGGCATGATCGGCGCATTGGGGCCGATTGGCGAGGGCCAGGGAAGCACGCCAGCAAGGTTGCGCCGGCGCTCGTGGATCCGGTCACGCAGATCGCGCGCGAGACCGCCGTACCGTGTCCCGCTGATGATCTCGTAGTCCACGGCCGCAGCGACCAGGATCGGCTTCACGTAGCGCCGGAAGTAGAGCGCACCGACCTCGTAGTCGTCGTCGCCGGGGTACTTGGCCGTGTACACGGTCACCTTACGAGGCAGATCCTTGGGCGACATCGGCTCCTCGGCCAGGCCGCGCACGCGCTCTTTGTACTCCTCCAGGATTTTTTTGCACTGGCGCCGGTCCTCGTAGTAGAGCAGGCTCAGCGAGGTGACTGAAAGCCAGAAAATGCTCCAGTTGCGCGACGGAAGGCGCGGTTTCCAGGTTAGGATACTCTGGGGGATGCCCATCCATTGCAGCGGTCGAAGCGCTGTTGGCACGGCACGCGGTGCCGCCGGTGCGGCGCCCGCTGGCGGTTTGCCCTCGCTCATCCGGTCGACAAGAAGAAGTGCCACGAGGCACAGATTTTTGCAATTGGGCCCAATTTGCGCGTGCGCAACCAGGGACGCACGACGAGCGACCTTGGCAAAAATTATGGCGCAACGCGAAGCGGTCGCCCCGCGTAGCCTGGCGGCCCAAACCGGCATCCTCTCAAGAGCCGACGGCAGCGGCAAATTTGCATATGGTACTGTACACCTGCTCACACCCAGGCGCGCAAGCATGCCTCGCGTCCGTCACCGGCCCCGTCGAAGTGCGGATGCGCGACGAGCTCACGGACAGCGCCACGTTCCAGGTGGTCGTATCGCCCTTGGAAAACGTGGCCGGCATCCCCACCAAGGCACTTGCGACTGAGTTCCAGGCACTCTTTGAGTCGGTGCTTCTCTTGCACCGTCATCCCCGGACGCTCATTCAGCTTGTGATCCAGACCACCAGCAAGCCGCCCACGGCCACGCCCACGGTCAATCTCTCCCTCAACCGCGGAGGGAGTGCGACGGCCTCAGAAGAGGAACAGCAGAAGCGCCACGCACCTCTTCTGCTCGGCCCAGACGTCCCCTTCACGTTTGCGGAGATTGCCGCGTCCATCAATGCGTCGACCCTCGCCCTGATCGATGCGGGTATACCCCTACGCGCTACCATCGTTGCCACCTCCTGTGCAGTAGTCAGCATTGACGATGCGTTGCGCACCCGCGACGTCGACCCCACGAAAGGGTCGTATTGGTACGTGCCTCGTCTGACCTCCAGTGTGCTGGTGGACCCGTCGCCCGAAGAGGAGAAGGTGGCCGAGAGCTGCCATGTCTATGCATTTGCCTTTTCCGGTTACAACCCGCTGAGCCCCAAGGACGCGGAGAGCGAGCTTGCGGCGCAGCTGGTGTACTACGCAAGCACGGGGAGGACGAATGGGAAGAAGCGCGCGGAGCTATTTGTGGTTGCCGAGGAGTCCGCCGAACGGCAACTAGGCTATCTCCGGGATGCACTTCGCACGCAGGACGTATAGCGATCACAGAGATGCGATTCAACCTCCAGAGCGTGGCACCCTGTAGGCTCGGGTCGGCCAGAGGACGCTTATCACGGCAAGATAAATAGAGATACTCTCCATCGCCCATCAACCGCAAGCGCCAATGGTTTAGTGGTAAAATACAGCTTTGCCATCGCAAAGATGTAGCTGTGCCGGGGGTTCGATTCCCCCTTGGCGCACTTTTTTCCCTTCCCGCAAAGAACTAGTGGTCCCTGATGTTGCTGCGTGCATCCTTTTTTAGGAACGTCTAGG